CCCCTGCTGCTCTTGAGCACCCAATGGCCACAGCCAAGACAGCAGCCCCACCCCCGCCCTGCAGCAGCTCTAGTGAGCAGCACCCCATGGCCAAAGCCGCGACAGCACTGGTGCCCGTACCCAAGTCGTTCAAGTCACCTCCAAAGGCATCCCCACCAGCCCCAGATGTCACTGCAAACTTAGCCCATGCTTTGCTTGCTGGGGATGGGTCTTTGACACCTAGCATGATCTATACCCCTGAGCTTGAGAAGCAGGTGAGCCTTGAAATGGAAAAATGGGCTGATGATGAGCTAGAAAAGCGTGTGAGAAATGCACCCAACCACCCAGAGTTCCAAGCCTATTGCACCGCATTTCGAATGGAGATTGGTGAGGCTGCAGATGAACCCGACCCATGGGTGTTTGGATCCCAAGAGCCCTGTGAAGATGTGATGGGTTTTGAAATGTGGGTTCGGGGGAAGAGCAACATCTTGAAGGCTTTGGGTTTGGCACAGCCCGCACCCAATCCTCTCAACAAGAACCAAGCAGTTTCCTCTGATCCCATTGTGCCAACCCCGCACACGATGTTTTTCAACAAGGATCCGCAAGCACCCCCACTGGCAAAGGCACACCAGGTTTCCGAGCCAGCCCCAAGTCCTGCAGTTGCAAAGGCACCCCAAGCTTCTGAGCCAGCCCCAAGTCCTGCAGTTGCAAAGGCACCCCAAGCTTCTGAGCCACCCCAAGCAGCATCGTCCACAGAGTCCCCAGGCACTGCATCAACAACAGCGGCTCCATTGCCCAATGAACTCTCCAAGGCAGTTGATGATGTCGCCAACAAAACCACAGATCTCAACAAGGCGACATCAGCCACGAACCGAAAGGAGTACATGAAATTCCTTCGGCAGGCCAACAATCCTGCAATTATGCCCAAGGCCCTCATTCCCACCTTCACTTCGGGAGAGAAATTGGATCTCTTCAGGATCTGGCTCCAGAAGGGGCAGGATTTCAGTGCTGTTGAAGTAGAAGTGAACAGGAGGAATTCACAGAAGAAGACAGCGCTGGCGAGAGACCGATGTCTTAGCCGAGCTGATTTGTTGGCAACAGGGAGATATTCGGAGAGGGACGTCCAGGAGCTGATAGAGAGAAAGACGGCACTGGGAGAATGGATCCCCGATCCCAATTTCCCCCAGAGAGAGGATCTCAGACAGTACAAAGTCAACACAGACGTGGCATCAGAGGTTGCGCACACCCGAGAAGACAGTCAGAGCATCAATGCCACCACATCTGTAAGTGCAACCGAAGCATTGACACTTACAGAGGACGGAGCAGATTTCAGCGAGGGAGCAGCACCCACCATCCATGATGCCCTGAGGATGCCCCAGCTCAGTTTGGGTTCCACAAGTGGGGGGACAGGGGATGAAGTGGGAAAGGGCAAAGGTAAGGGCAAAGGAAAAAATGAGAATGGGGATGGGGATGCAAACACCGAGTCAAAGCCCGACAAGGTCTTGAGCCCCCTGGATAAGGCCAAACTTCTGAGGAAGTCTGTGTTTCTTAGACAACTTTGGTCAATTTATCTTTTGTTTTTGTCATATGTTATTAAGAATGGTATATGTGAGTTTGTGAGCAATCCTGGATCATCCCAAGATATTGATATAACTAATGACAACTTTGGTCAATTCATCTTTTGTTTCTGTCATATGTTATTAAGAATGGTATATGTGAGTTTGTGAGCAATCCTGGGTCATCCCAAGATATTGATATAACTAATGACAACTTTGGTCAATTCATCTTTTGTTTTTGTCATATGTTATTAAGAATGGTATATGTGAGTTTGTGAGCAATCCTGGATCATCCCAAGATATTGATATAACTATAACGTGTATGTTTTTTTCTGCACATGGTTTTTGTATGATCTATCCTCAAGTTTGGATACACATCTAGAGGAATGGTTTCCATGCATTGTTGATGTCTGTAATTGATCTGGAACTTGTAAATTCTTCAAATTGTATATCCATATTTCGATCCATGCATCTCAACTGATTGTATCCATTGCCCCACCTGTCCTGCTGAGGTTGAAGGAAGCAGAAGAAGCCCGCACCTTGTGCATCGCGATCGAGGGAGTTGAGATGTCAGGGGAGTTGGTCAAGGCATTGACTACCCATTCTGATGCCATGACCGGGTTGTACAGGGAGTTGAATCAACTCGTCACCCAGGAATGCGACGATATGGCCAAGTATGATCCTATTTTCCAGCAGGCCACCATTTGCCAGAACTGGTTTAGATCCAGGAAGCGTGTGGCCAATACCATGAAGGCAGCTGCATCTAAGTCAGCCTGAAATGCAAAGTAGCCTTACTTAAAGTTTTGGATCTTGAATCACAACAAGTTGAACTTACTGATTTTGAAATCTCTGTGTAAATTTATTGTTCATTATCGAAACTCCAGGGACCAACATCTGTGTTATGATTTTGGAAATGGTCTACTGCAAGAGTGGGCTACATGCGCAGTGCTCGCATTTTGAACCTCTGTTGTTCTCAGAACAGGGGATGTACGAGCCGAGTCTAAGTTGATCGAACCGAAGCCAGCTAAGCAGCCTAGGGTAGCCATAGGACAACTCATAATATGTGGGTGAGTGTCATCGGGCGGCCAGACGGTGGCTATGGGAAAGCTGGGCTGAACAAAAATGCGTGTTGGGATGGTTTACCCATAGGTTTCTGGTCACCCAACAATCATGAAGATACTGGGCTTGGGGTCCCAAAGTTTGAGACAATCTTCATACCCCACCATTGTTGGTTTTGGACAGTTTTCCCATCAGTGTTTATGGGTTTTACATTTAATCTGGGTAAATTATAACTGACAATAACAACCTCATTACGACCTCACCAAAGATGATGGTTAGTAAAGGAAATCATCCCCTTTTATGGCGTCAATTCAGGTTAGTGAAATATTACAATTTTCCCAGATTTAGTTATTCACTGATTATTCAAGTTCAAGTAGTGATAGCTTCCAACTTCCCGGGGTTCTGTTTCACCATCATGTGCCATCTATCCCGGTTGCCAGGTGCACCTGCGAAGAGACAACGCCATCTGACTCCTGGAAGTGCGTTAGCTCACGAGATGCTATGGGATGTGGCTCGGGGAGATACCTGGCCATTCAGAAATGGGTCATATTTTGAATCTTTTGATGGTCCATTTTTTTATCTGCACATGGTGGTAAATGGGGTTCTCGTTATTTTTATATGGGGGTAAATGGGATTGTTGTGTTTTGATTCATCCAGTTGTTGTCAAGGAATTACATGTTAACGCTCTTCAACGATATGCACATGCAGCGTATCAAGATGGTTTGGATATCCCTACGATCCGAGATTTAGCATCACTGGCATGCTGGGGTCGACATCCTGGAAATGTGGAGCGCGATTTGCACAGAATGGTGCCATCATTGTTTGGGTCACAATTCCCCTTGCACAGTGTTTGCATCGAGGCCTATGATCCTGACACAGCTAGTATCCATCCAGTTGAAATTCCCATTCTCTTGGCCAGCGATGTCCTGAATCAAATTTGGGAGAAGAATTCACCCCAATTGTGGAATATCCTCATTGGGTCTACAGCTGAAAAAACCAATGCATTCTGGTCTGCGTTTGCCACAAATGGGGTTCGTGCGCCAATCACCCAGTCATTCAGCATTTCAGCGGCATTAATTTATTTTTGGTTTCGCTACCCCCATTAAATTTGTAAGCTTTGAGCCGGGGCCACTTGGTATATCATTGGAAGTCCACATGGGCTTTATGAATTTGTTTGCTTTTTATTGATAGCGATGGGTCAGCAAAACAGGTTCTTTATTCACACAAATTATCAACAAATAGAGATATGTATAAACGCTATGTGCTAGTTTTACCCTCAGAAATATATATATATATATATATCATATATATAATAATATAATATAATATAATATAATATAATATAATATATAATATAATATAATATAATTTAATATAATATAATATAATATGCTATATATGTAAATTACATCAAGATATATATATATATATTATTATATATATTATTAAATATATATATTATAATATATATATATATATATATATTACTAAATATATATATATATATTATTATTAAATATATATATATAATATAATTTATATATATATATATATGTATATGCTTAAACAATATGAGCATTCCCAATGAAGGTGCCTTCAAATCACCTCGATCAATGCGACCAGCCGCAAGCCAAGGCAAGGCCTCAAAAGCGAATCGTTTCCAGACACTGGGACTGGAAGGGATCAGGTGTAAACAGTTTCTTCTTTCTTGACCACCACAGGAAAATATTGTGGGGAAAAAGTGGTTGATGTAGCCTACTGTCAAAAAAATGTATTTGGGTGAAAAGTTCCTTGCATATGAATCCTCCCAAAGAATCACCAGGTCAAGTGGTTCACTGATGGGGCCGAATTCAACACCAATCATGAAATGATTGTTTGGCTTTGGTCTTCAACGTTGGCCTCTACAAACTGGTGCACAAAGTTTCCTTTTGCAGTGATCCCTATGAGACTACTTCCCACCAAAGATCTTCGGGCAAAAGCAAATAGAGTTATCGTGGAAGCGATAGCATGGGACAGTGTCTTGGTTTTTGATCAAACCTGTTTTTGATTTATTCCTGTGTCTTACAATTCTTTGCCCATGATTTCACAAAACATCGATCCCTAGGTCAATCTTTGTTGAGTGGCAAATTCCCTTCGAAAGATCAACTTGGGAACTGGTTGAGGAACCCACGCGGGGACAAAGCGGGTCAACTGATAGCTGGTGGTTGGCGTGGTGCATTCGAGTCATGGTGTGGAGATTGGAAGGAACGATGGATGAGCCATCAATTTATAAAAAGGAACTACTTGAGCACCATGTTGTGCGACCAGTGTTCAGCAATAAACCCACATGCCCGAACTCCAGAGCACCTACTTGAGTATATCTATTCAAACTTCTCTGTTGACGCACCATGGAGACGTACTTTGCGATCCCACCAACAGTACTTGGAGGAAACTCCAGAAAATCTTCGGACCCCCTGGTTGGCAGTTCCGGGGTTCAGCATCTCCAGGGTGCGGTGGGACACTGCGCATACGATCTTATTGGGCACAGGCAAGGATATAGCAGCAAGCTTCTTGTGGGACCTGGCCCCTTGAAATGATATAACTATCATTTGTCTATATGTTACATATTTTGTTTGGATGGTTGATACCAATCAATAGAATTTGATTACTTTGGGTGGTGATTGGAACCCGAACCCCCAGAAAGTGTTTCCCCGTCATGATGTTCCAATCCAAGGTTGAGCTTCCTATTATCCCTCGATTGCAGCAGCTTGGGGTGCGCAGTCTGGGTGCCCTACAGGGTGTTGACATCTTCAACCCCATGGGTCACAACCTGCAAAGTCGTGGTGACACACTGATGAACCTTCTGGGATTGGCCTTCAGGCTGTGGTGCAAAAAAAAAAATTGAAAAGCCACCTGCGACATGGAACCTTCATTTGATTGGACGAGGGCCAAGTGATTCAGCCAACTCCTATCCCACTTTGGATAGCAATGTTAAAGCTGCCCACGTGAAGCCTATTTTGTTTTTCCTGGCAGAAATTTCCAGTGAAATATCAAGTCATTGTACATGCCCCTTGGCAGTCAACCATATGCAAAAACATGTTAAATTGTTTTGACTTTTGTGGGATCTCAAAATTATTCAGTCGCTCATGGTGTAATGAGAATGGAAATGCAAACGCGGGTTTTAAAGCCAAGTCCTTTTGCAGGGTCGGGCCCTACCACCAAGAAACAAAGTAGTTCCATACCCATTATAGACACATATATATATATATATATATTTCTATTTATAGATATATAAATAGTTTTTGTATACTTGTAAAGAAACTATATATTTATGTGAAGCGATAAAATCAGTGATGCAAAGTAAATATGTATATATATATATTTATATGTTGTCATCAATCCGCTTCCCAAGGTGTTGGGTGCTCCAACCGCGCTCTCATGTTGTGGGGCGCCACCGATTTCCTGTGGGTGACCGATCGTCCAGCGCTGCGGCTGGGGAAGGAATTGCAAACAAGAGGATATGAATCTGGGTTTACATCCATCACTGCTTATGCTGCCCTGTCGACTACCAATTTGCAAAACAAAAGAATCAATTACAAGATCCGCCCAAAATGGCATCTGTGGCAGGACAAGTGACTATGTGTTTTTTTTCCAGGGATGGTGGAGATTCTAAACCCATGGTGATGAATAAGACCATCACTAATGTATCCTATTTGTTTATATACATATATATAGCGATATCTATTTTTATATCTATATCTCTATCTATCTAAATCAAATCAAATCAAATCTAATCTAATCTAATCTAATCTGTCTCTCTATCTATCTATCTATCTATCTATCTATCTATCTATCTATCTATCTATCTATCTTTCTATCCATCTATCTATATCTATATCTCTACCTATATCTATTTCTATATCTGAATATATATACCGATACCTATATACCTATATCTATATCTATATTCCTATAATCTGTATTTCTATATCTCTATTTTTTGTAGTCGATAGCAAAGACCAACACCAGCTTTCGTCTAAGGCATTCGTGGTGCCATATAATCTTTGACTTCCTGGTTTCAGATGAGAACTGCAGAAACCACAAGACATTGGCCGAAGAGGACATGCTTGGTAAGATCACAAAATTGGCATCTGCCGTTCATGGTGGTACTGTTTGTCAAAGGTTCTTTGAAAGGTTCCGGCTGTTCATGGGAATGCATTGGGAAAAACTCAGTGCGCTTCCACCAGCGGATGTTGAACAACTATAGTGATTTGGCTGGCCAATGGAGAACAAAAAATTGTACAAACAAACCTTTGCAACTAAAATGGTATCCTTACTTAGCTTGGCCCCCTGATCGCTATGTGGCTGGGATTCCCGGCATGGGATGATCGATGCTTGCGACCGCCGCGGTGAAACAGCTAGCTACCGCACAGCAGACTGGTGGTCCCTTGGGGGAGGACTGTTGAAGTTTCCAGGGTATGTGCCCCTTTTTTGATTCATGGTCCCAGGGAATGAAATCTACTTATCAACATGAATGATCTTTTAATCAGTGGGGAGATTCCATGGTTTTCCATGAAAAAAATACGTGTTGAAACCCATTTATGATTAACCCCAAAGTGGTTTTGAAACAATCTGGATAGGTCTCATTCAACCCAGGAGGGGATGAACAAAATCTGATATACTGTAGATGTTTATTGTTGATTGGGGATGAAAGATTTGACGGTTGTTAGATGGATACATTACCTAAACCAAAGGGTCATAACAGGAATAGTAACATGTTTAATTCATTTAAAACCACAATTAATAGGCACATATAGGAAAATATATGGGATTATCGCCGACCTCCGGTCGGCAGATCATGATACAGTTCGCATATTGGCTTCGTTGCCAAGCCACCCGCATCGTTGGTGTTTCGTAATCTACTTGGTGCCCCCCAACACCAAGGTCCTTTGGTATACACACACATATATATATATACTATATATGTATATATTATATCTATATACATATTACACACATTGATGATAGAGTAACACTATGGGATATTCGATCAAAGATATTAAGTTGATCAGCTGAAGGGTACCTGACAACGTGACATGGGTGATCATTGGGGTTCTTGTTTTCAGAGCTGAAAAAAAAGAAGGTACGTCGATCCAGCGTCCCAGATCGATATCACAGAATATGTCATAGCCGTCTTCGCTGGCTGCAGAGCTTATGACATTCCAGTAGTATCTGCACCAGGTGGGGTGGAAGTTTTTAAAGGCACTTCAACAAGTTTGTGCATCCTGCCAGTTGCAATCCTGAACTGGGTCACTGGATCACTTGCTGTTGGTAAAAAATGGTGGTGTGGGAAGCTTTGAAGTCAGCACCAAAAGCAGTTGCATGGGTCCTTACTCATGGGGCCGTGGCATGCTGTAAGTATGACATTCTTGGCCGGATCCCGTGGCTACGTAAACTTGGCTCCACCTCTCTCGTGGTGCAATGGACTTCTACATACCCATGTAACTTGCTACTCGGACCCTCCTGGCAAGAGGTGAACCACCACATGAAGGGTATCGCGGGGCCAATGCTGAAGTCGTTGGGGAATGGTGGGGATCCCGAAGTTGAAGACACGGGTCTCTTGGATGGTGGTGCAACACACCCCCTACGACAGGGTACCAGCGACGAAATCAAGAATGCAGTGCAGGTCACTGTGGAGTTAGCTCACGGAGCCGCGGAGCTCTACCAAAATCCCATGAATGGAACACTTCTATCGGAAGGTCCGGTGGAACCTATAGTTCCTCTCAGAGGACTTGCGGAATTGGGATACACCATCACATGGTCCCGTGCAGGATGTGAGGTGAAACACACAAGACTGGGAAAAATCAAATGCTGGGAGCGGTCTGGGTGTCCAGTGGTCCGAAGGGATCACGCCCTGCAGCACCGAGATCGAGCGCATGGACACGGAAAAGAGGAACGACCGACGTTTCACGCGGGAAGAAGCGAATAAAGTCTCCACCAAAATCTCCAGATTTAAAAAGGAGCCTGCTGATGAACCAGCAGGGGGGGAGCCCGGTGTCTGTTCAAAAGTTTCAACCTTTTGTGTTTCAAAAGTTTCAGGACAAGACGATCAAGGCTCGGGGGAGGCACCTGCAAAAGAAGATGGAAGTCCAAACTCGGGGGAGTTCATCGTCAGAAAAATCAGCCTGGAACATCAACAAAACTGGGACGCCGAATTTCCAAGTGTGGATCCGAAACGAGATCAACAAATGCACGCTTCAAGGGCAAGATCCACGAAGGGGATTGCACGTCTTGAAGAACATCAACCGGAAGAAGGTGAACATGGTCGGAATGAAGACCTTCCGGGGAAAAAACTTGTGGCCGATTTGCTGTCAAAGATCATCGCTGTGAAGCCAAACTGGGAAAGGTTCTGGAGGTTTGTCAATCGCCAAGGTTCCGGGGTTCCAAATGAGGAACCAACAATAGGTTCCAACCGTCGCGAAGAACAACCTCTGGGAGAAGAACACCATCCGGAAGAACCAGACCAGGAGACTTCCTCATGGGACAACTACCGAGTCATCGCTGGTCGGTGCGTATCAGTGGTGAAAAAGGTGGTTGGTCTGGCCAAAGAATATCCAGAGCTAGCCGAATTCCGGCATGAAGCCCTGAGCACTGCCATTGGAAGGCTGGTGCAAGTACTGGCTGATGCGTATCGCGTCACTGAAAATGTGATCAAGGATCGGTTCCAGTTGGAGTCGGTCTTACCGTTTTTGGAGAAGAAGAACATTCCTGGACAAGTTGAACACCCTGTAGAAGAAGAACCTAGGGGTATCCTAAAACGGGGGAATAGATCCAAAAGGGGTAACTCAAAACCAAAAAGGGTTCATTTTTGGGATGAAAATCCACCAATTTTGAAAGTTTTGCGGGTACAAGATCACCACGGTCATGTTACCCAATTGCACAGTTCTGGAAAAGAAGAACCCATCCCTAAGACCATCCTGGGTGATGGACAAGAGAAACATTGGGACTTGGATCTTGCCAGGTCCAATCGAAAAGAACATCGAGCTGCTGAAGATGTACCAAGGTCGGGTCCCACAGAAACGAGGGATCAGGTAGCAGTTCGAGGGATGGAATTTTTGGGGAGTATGGTTAAGATAGATGAAATACAACTTCATGGTAAACCATCAAAAGGGATAGCTCCGCAACCAATGGGAACTCAAGGCGATCAGAAGGAAAAAGAAGCCCTGATCCTATTGCAAGTGGGAACCGAAAAGAAAAAGAAAAAGAATAACTTAAAAAGGATAGGTCGCCGGGAAAAGTACATCGGTGGCTGGAGAAAAAGATCATCAAGACCCAGGGAAAAGATCATTAGCTGCCGGTGGAAAAGATCAGTACAAGGAAAAGATCATCAGCCGCTGGACCCAAAGAACACCGTTGGGCGCTCTTCGAGTGCGGCGCTGGTGAGAGAGGGAATTCAAAAAACCTACGAAGTTAGGGCTGTAGTTTTTCAATTTTTGGAGTCAACCCGAAGTGGAACTCCACGCGACCCTTAGATGAAGGGGGAACCAACACCAGCCTGGGACCATGGCACACGAGGGTCTTCGCCCTTCTGGCTGGGGGAAGGGCGAGTTCCCAGTGAAAACGTGGCCACCCCTGAACTTGTTGCTTTTGGTGTTGGGGAACCTGGATTCCTGCAAGCAGGAAGGGGGAGTGCGGTTGGGAAACTTGAACAGAGTACCACTGCACCCCCACTAAGGTCTTTTTAAGTTTTTCACAGTCGTTGAGACGTCCTCCGACTGTTGCAATTTGGCTCAAGGCTCAAGGCTCAAGCCATTCAATTGGCTCAAGGCCAATCAACCAACTGGCTCAATTTACCAAGCCCAATCTGGAGTGAAAGGTGCAGCAGCATCTGCCTCTTGGTGGGGACCTCCGGGACGGGACTCGGTTGTAGTCTGACTTTAGAACCCGTGAAATCAATTTAAATCATATTAATCAATCCCCATCCATAAATCGCGATTTCTTGGATTTCTGATCTATGGCATCTATAGCTTTTGACCATCGGAAGATCCACATAGAAGTTCTCACCGAGGATACGAAGCCGGGTGAGCTGGGAGAGAGGTGGAGTCGCTTCTTGAGGACCCGTTTTGGGCCCGGCCCGGCCCGTCTTGGGCTGGCTGTATCCCCCGGTTGATCATGGTTAAGTCATGGTGATAACTAATGGTTAAATAATGCAAAAAAAACATGGTGAATAACGGTTGATCATATGGTTTTCATAATATGGGTTTCATGATATGGTCAATAAGTTGTGATAATATGGTTAAACAGTTAAACAGTTAAACATGATAATTAAGGGTGTGTCTGAACATGAGGTGTAGCCTTAATGGCTGTTTGAATAGGCAAACAAATGTTATTCACCAATGGATGCAAAGGGGTACTCGATTTTCAGACAAAGCCATATATCTAGTGTTTGTCGGTTATAACATATACAGTATATGTGGTTTATGTAGCCCGTATCTACCGTTAATGAGGTTAACCAACAAACACAACTGCGGGGCTTTGGTGTAGCTCGTTGCATCGCTTCTGGTTGACGATGGTTCCCAGACAGCCATTGATGTTGAAGTGGATGTTCTCAACAAAATGGCTTTGCAACGAAAGATCGGATTGTTTTTATAGCTACAATTAGATGATTTAAGGCACAAGAACTATCTAAAACTGGCGTCATTTCATCACGTTCCTTTGGGCGGGCATGGAATGATCTCCACACCGGGCTTTCCCGCAGGATCTCCACACCCTTCATCACTCGCTTCTTCTACGCCCTCTTGAACCTCGGCCTGAGTCGAAAGATCATCCAGGGTCCCTTCATATATCCCACAATTATCACAATTCGCCAATCATAATGAATTTGACGTTAGTACCAAATTCTAATCTTGTGGGTATACCGGTATACCCTATTTTCAGACAAAGTTATGATTTTTGAACTTACTGTGAAATTCCAATTTGGTGTTTACCCCATTGACAAACACTTGTGTCTATTTTTGCCAAGTGAGGAGCAAAACTTGTGGATATGTCTGCCCTGCAAAGTGCCCGCGCTAGTAGGAGGTTTTGTGGAGAAGGTACCCCTTCACAAGGAACCATGAAAAAATGCAAATGAACCAGCAAGAGACTGTCTTTGAGTATACCTTGATCCCAAGCCCAGCATGAGGAATTATATTAATTAATATTAAAATTGTATACATCATCCGTTATGCGTAACATTATCGAACATCTCTAAAGAATTCAGGTACAGCACAAGGGTCACAAGGTTCGGATTTTTGAAGTCGGGTGTCCCATTGTCCGACGAATTGTGGATGGTGTTGAGAAACTCCTTTGTTAGTTCTGGCGTTCCGGCATGAGCATTATATCATTGAAATTACATGAATTTGAAAGATTTCATGAGTTTCTTTTTGTTTAACATATACTATATATATACTATACTTATATGTATATACCTAGACCCTCCGTTTGTATGCTTAAAAAGGGTGTCTTACCCCATCATGTTAGTATACTTTTACCATTTTCTTGGGATATAAACGTAGGTTACCAGAGGGTACATGCAAAATCCATATTGATGTCCATTGATCCAGAGGTCAAGTCCCTGTAAGTAGCCCTGTAGTTCACATCAAAATAGCTGGTAAAAAATGGGTATTGATTGGTATAAAAATGGTATAAGAATGGTATCATCATCCCTGAAAATTGTATAAACATGGTACAAAAATGGTATCATCATCCCTAAAAATTGTAAAAACATGGTATAAAAATGGTATCATCATCCCTAAAAATGGTATAAACATGGTATCATTATCCCTAAACATGGTCTAAAAATGGTATCATCATCCCTAAAACATGGTATATAAATGGTATAAAAATGGCATCATCATCGCAACAAATGGTATAAACATGGTATAAAAATGGTACCATCATCACTAACAATCGTATATACATGGTATAAAAATGGTACCATCATCCCTAAAAATGGTATACAATTGATATCATCATCCCTAAAAAATAGTATAAACATGGTATCATCATCCCTAAAAATAGTATAAAAATGGTATCATCATCCCTAAAAATGGTATAAACATGGTATCATCATCCCTAAAAATGGTATAAACATTGTATCATCATCCCTACAAATGGTATAAAAATGGTATCATCATCCCTAAAAATGGTATAAGAATGGGTATTGATCCATGGCCATTTCTTGATAGGTTGCTCCTGTTTTTTTTTTTATCTCCGTGGAAACTCATCTCCCACAAAATCCCTGGTTTTGTTTGGATGGGAAGAATACGGGAAAAGATTCTTCCCAACTAGAACACCAACTATTCCCAACTAACATAAGTATTGAACATGGCCATAGAAGGGTTGATTTACCTATTTACTATGAACGGGGGAATGGGGTTGTAAACCATTATGAACCACATTAGCCACTACTAGCCATCATAAACCATTTTATTAACCGCTAAATATTCATGAAATATAATAATTTACATATATATATATATATATGTCTACATTAAATACTATTAAACAACTATAATCCAACTGTAACCCCATGAAAAGCGCAGAGTTATGGCCCAACCAACAGTTATAAATGGAATGAAAAAACTCCTGCAACTAGGGTTATATATAATGAAATAAAACAATTTATGGCTGTTTTGGGCCAGAACTGCAATAAATCACTATAAATCACATTGGAATCCCAATATCATCCCAATATAGTCCCATATAAACTACATTAAACCATATTAAGCATCATTAAACCACATTAAACCACATGAATTCCAATGAAATTCCATTAACTCCCAGTAATCTCCCATGAACGGTGCCGGTTGTCCAACGGTCCCGTCGGTCCGGCGGTCCCGAGGAACGGTCGCCTCTGGGAGGATGAGGCTTCGCTGGCTTCGCAGGCGGTGGATAACATGCAGGAGCCGGGGTCTTCCGCATTTTTTTTCGGATTTGGAATGGCCATGATATCATATTATACCATGATTATCATTGGGGGTATATTGATGGTAAATGTTACCATATATATAACATACATGGATCCTATGGGTATGTCTATTATATCTGTGTACCGGTAAATTATAACGACCTCACTGTCCTCCCTCACTGGAATCATGGTTAGGATTCGGGAAATCATCCCCAAGTGGCCCAACAATTCAGGTTAGTGAAATATTATCATTTACCCAGATAATATTATACCATGATTATCAATTGGTATCATAGTATGGTACTATAACATTATATAATATTATACCATGGTATACCATATATATATATATGGTACTTTTTACTATAACATAGATATCATTCCCATATTATACCATAGTATACCATATATATATATATATTATACCACATGTTATTTTTGGTATAATCATTTCTGGTATAATGAATATAATGAATCATATTGTGGTATACCATGGTATATATATATATATTGGTACTGAATCATTCTGGTTGGTGGTTTGGAACATGAATTTTATGTTTCCATATATTGGGAAGAATAATCCCAACTGACTTTCATATTTTTCAGAGGGGTTGAAACCACCAAGTAGGTATTGTCTATGGATCTGTATATAATTATCTGTATAATATATTGTATACTATGGTATACTATGGTATATATGGTATACTATGGTATACTATGGTATACTATGGTATACTATGGTATTTTATATTGGTAAAGCTGCACAATATATTATGGAATTATAGGGTACACTATATATAGTTATTTGCCACATGGTATATGGTACATGTTACATATGAATCTGGTATATATGGTATAATAGTGTATATACATACTGCGGTGTGTATATATATATATATTTGTATAATATTGCCATAATAATATATTCTATAATATGGTATGATACCATTTTCTTGCCATATACAGATCCATTTTATTGGTATATGATATGGTATAATATACAGATAAAAACTGGTATAATATGTAGAATGGTAATATAATGTACATATAATGCGGTACATATAATGGTATAATATTGTATATACAGATCCATTTTACAGTATGTTGTACAGTATTTTATGGCATATACATTTTACAGTATTTCGGATTTGCCATGCACTTTTTCAATTCTAGTGACCTCACTGGAATGATGGTGATTTGGGAAAATCTTTCAACAAAAACCCATGGATGTACCCTTACTAAGTCCCAAATTAATTTTGATGCAACGTATTGCTGACTAGGGGAACATCTACAGGAGAATCCATGGATTTTCACCATGGATTTTTAGATTATGGGGTTTCCTGTAAAATTTTCCCGTAAACCAATCCATTCATCCATGGGAGTCTGGCCAACAAAAAGATGGACACCTATGTCAATCCCATCGAAAATCAGATGTGACTCGGATTTTCCAATAGGATTTCAATGGAATGTTGTTTTTTTTGGGACTTGATGGGATTTGGGAACCTCCCAGATTTGTATTGAGGTCAAGAAAAATAGTTCAAAGCACTGACCATATCGATACATCCATTAGTATCTATTAGTTATCAAGCGTTGGAGATCGTGTTAAATAGTTGATCTTCCCAGAATTGTTAACAAGTGGTTCATAACAATAGTTATAATCCAGTTCCAATCCATTTATAGATGGGATTTTCACATGGATAAACCAGAAATCTAGGGGACGAACCCTGGGCCTAGGACTATGAAAAATAACCAGTGTTACGATTCGGATGACGTGGGATGATTCTCAGCCAAACGGGATGTTTTTTGCATGGCTAAAGGTACAACATAATAACTATAACTATAGCTGAGAACTAGAATAGACTGGGGTTATGGCCATAGTAATGTAATGTACATAGCTATTATATAGTTATGGCAAAGACTGGGCTTTGATATACGAACATAGCAATGTTTCATGGAAAAAAGACGTCCAGGACTGTGTTTTTTTCCCATTTTTTCGCACTTTCCGAGTGCTCCATCCTCCGGAAATGTCCTGTTGTCCCTGAATCCAATGATCCAGTGAACAATCATTGGGCATGGTTTTGCTTCTATTCGTCTTGACTGCTTGGTGGTTTGGATCCATGGAATTTTATGACTTTCCATTCAGTTGGGACTGATCATCCCAACTGACTTTCATATTCTTCAGAGGGGTGGCTCAACCACCAACCAGTATATTCCAGTTGATCACAGTGACTATGGAGGTATCTCAGGTCCTGTGGATACCCCAAGTCACCACAAGTATCGTATTCGTTCAGTACGACATTAGGAAAATGCTCATCCATGACTCGGCCGATTTGCGGTCCCCCTAGGAGGGCGGGCCAGACCGCAAGGCCCCGGAGGTAGTCTGAAATACCTGTTCGTATATTTTAAAATCCGTATATTTAAATGTAGTTACAGTATTATGTATATATATATATATGAGCGCACGGCCCAAAACTCCATACAAGACTCACAAAACAACTCCTCTTGAGGCTTGAAAACGAAGAAACATAAGTCCTGGCGTGATTTTGTCATTTTCCAGTCACATGGTCATGACATCTCGGGTCCGAGGAGCTAGGCCCGACCTTTGTGAAGTTGGGACAGGTGCTGTCCATCCGTCCCGATGTCTTGCCGCCAAAGACCATGAAAGAACTGGCGCGGCTGCAGGACGCTGCGATTCGGACGAAGATGGAGGTTGACGCCAGATCTGGCCAGAATTCCAGGCAAAATTCACGCAAACCAAGAGATTTTTACGAGATTTTATGAGATTTTAAGATATGTTTTGAGATGTTATGAAATGTTATGAGATTTTAAGATATGTGTTGATGATGTCTTTTTGCTTCAGACAGATTCATGTTGAAATGGGGCCATTATGGGTCATCCATTTTGTAGGATTATTCACTGCCCTTCAGCCATTCAGTGGGAGGCGATGAAAGGTGGTCCAAAAGACATGATCTGGTTGGTGCTTTCAAACATGTGTTTTTTCCATAATATATGGGATAGTCCTTCCCATTGACTAATATTTTTCAAGATGGTTAAAATCACCAACCAGTGATTGGATGGGACGTGAGTGTGGCTAATATATCTGTGGCATGCTGCATCATGCTGCTATGGACTGTAGACACCTTGACTAACCTTGACTCTTGGTGGCAGGACGACATTGAGACCTTTTCCAACGAGGAAGCGCGAAAGGTCATCGAAAAGGACCCCACAATGGTGTGGCATGTGGAGATGCATTTGGGCTTTTAAGTGGATATATTTCCATAGGGCCTTAAGTTGGGTTTATATCCCAGCTTATGGAGATTACCAACATGGTTGTACCCACGTATGACCCAAAAAGCACCACCGAACGCAAGATGTTAGGATCTCAAAATCTCTCAAACGAACGGACTCGTGGCGCAGGTGTTTCTGACTTTGGTTCAGGTTGCAAGGTCTTATTGGCTCCTATGCTGGGGCTCAGTATAAACATTACAATTGTCGTGATTCCATCTCTCTGATTTTGGGAAAAAAGATTCCCAATGTCAACCAAAATCCGAGACCAGCAAATTTACACAAGTTGCTTGAACCTGCAAGCTAGAGACGCTACTGTAGTGTACAGTACCCTTCCTTTCCCGTTCTCCAGAAATCAGTGGATGATGATGCGTACCCTCTGGTAAACTAACGCAACTATGGAAAATCACCATTTGTAACGGGTAAATCAACTACAAAAGCTGCGTATGTTAAACTACCAGAGGGTAGTGTATGAACCAGGATCAGTCATCTTTAGAAGCCTGCCGCAGTGTCTCTTGACAGCGCAACTGAGACTCACTCTGTGGTTGTTCACACCCGAAACGGTGGCTCCAGTTTCTTGATGTTGGCTGAAAGAAAGTTATTGATGTTCCTAGACCCTCCAAATACCGCAGCAAAAGTGGTAAAAGTCCTGACATTATTTGATAAAACACAATTTTTTAAGGTACAAACAGAGGGTCTACAGTAGGTTCTCCCAAATTTGGCATAAAATGTGCTTCCAGGATCACTAGAACTATAGGATTTTGATGGTTTTTGGTTCCGCCCCAGGCGTTCCAGGCAGCACCTTTTTGGGAAGCTCCCAGCCCCCTCCCAGGAGATGGGAAAACCTGTGGATGAGATCTTTTCAAGCTTCTCAGAGGTGCTCTGCGGGTACCCTGTGTTGAGGCAAAAAAACATGTCAGTCATATGTTGTTGCAGTATGTCACAATGGCCGTGCATGTATTATAAAGTTATTATACTATACATACATCAGTGTACTGTGTATATATATATGTACAATAACAATAACAATAACAACAATAATAATGACAATAACAATGTTGACAATAATGACAATAAAATAACAATGATAATAGTAATAGTAATAGTAGATAATAGTAGTAATACTAGTAACAGTAGTAATACTAGTAACAGTAGTAATACTAGTAACAGTAGTAATACTAATAATACTATCATTATGTAATGATGTTATATGTTTATAAGTATAGACAGTTTACCAGAGGGAGAAATGTTTCTTTTCAAGTATTTCAGGGTGCCATGTTTATTGAAAAGCAGATTTTCCAGCTTCGACTTCTCCAAACACGGGCGATATCCCTTATATCTTTCCTTTCCACTACTTTTCCCATGAAAGTGGACCACAAAATGTCAAAAATATGTACTGTAACTAATTTCTTCTTCACTGAAGCTTGTAATTGAATACCCTCGTGCCATAACGATTGAGTCGCTTGTGTAAGATCAATCGCGCATATTAGGTACTGTATGGGTAGTATGTAGACATGTTATGACATGATAATAGCAATGCAGCAATGCACCTTCCATCCACTTCAGGGCGATCATTATTCTGGGGTATTCCCCATCTACCCTCTGGCAATTTGACATAGCGACAATTATCAATTTACAACAATTTATAGAAATTTCTAGCTGTTTTACATTGATTTACCTATTGTAAATGGTGAAGAAAATCCATAGCTATCTCAATTTGCCGGGTGTTTGCTGGGTGTTTGGTCCACTTTTCCATGGCGTTTTTGTTCTTCCCGCGCTGCTGCACTCGACCTCCAAGGAGCCCATTGCTGCGGCATCACTGGCGCAAGTCTACCGGGCAACGCTGCGGGAGACGGGACAAGAAGTGGCCGTGAAAGTTCAGAGGTGCCCCGGTCTGCAATTGGTGCCTTTGGAAAAATCTGGAGACCTGAAGAATACCCTCTGGTTATGTTAAAATAGCTATTGAACATGGCCATTTATAGTGGATTTACCCATTGAAAATGGTGAACAATTCCATAGCTATGTTAGTTTACCAGAGGGTATATGAGAAAAGTGATGGTTAGTAAGGGGAATTATTTCGAAATGGCAGGAAAATTCAGATTTTTGTGATTTTTTTGGTTGAATTATTGTATTGTAACGCCATTTAAATATGTGGAGGGCGGGCCAGACCGCGAGGCCCCGGAGGTAGTATGAAATACCAGTTCGTATATTTAAAAGTCTATTGAAATGTAGTTACCGTAGTTCATCCAGATGAATATCAACAGCCTCCTTTTTGGAAAAACAAAGGGTGCGGTTTGATTAATATCCTCCATTGGTATCTTAATTGTTACCATCAAACAGATTTGTAGATCTAACAGTTAGATAAACAACCCACAATTGTAATATGTTATGATCTACCTATTGGTTGTTAGAGGAGGCGAAGCCTCTACCAACAATCAACCAGTGGGAAACAACATTGTTTCAGGATCTTTCACCATCCCAAGAAATGCTAAAGGATGTCTGAGGTACAGGATGGGGCCCCCAAGATAGCTAAGTTGCCTTGTAAGTGGCGAAAAAACTATGGCTTACGGTTTATAAACCAGCTTATGACTGCGGGGCCTTTGACGCTCCAGCAGAGCAGCTTTGTTCGTTAAAACGGCTTAGCCTTGTCCCACAGGTTCCACAGATTGAGATTAAATAGGATGTGCTAGATGCTAGAGATGTGGAGAGCATTTGGCTGGCTCTTTCAGCTGCACGAAGATGTCAGTTGTGATTTTTGTTTCTGCGTTGGACCCTGGCCCTGTTAGCTGTTATTTCTCGTTGTAGACACTTTGGATTGTCACAATACTGACGTAAGGGACCTCTATGCGTCGTGCTCACTCGTCGGTCGTCATGGTAACACTAATTCGTTTCTCTCTTTGAAATGTCCATCCTGCTAGTGGGTGTAAGTTAAGTTGATGGTTAGCTGCGTGGAAGGCCAGTTGTAGTTGTGTTGGACCCTGACTCCGTTTGCTGTTGCTCTCCTTGGTGGAACGATGAAGCGCAGTTCTGACTGGGGGAACTGCGACAAAAACGACCTTATGGTTTTTTTTGAGGGGGCGCAAAGTCTCAAAGATGACATGTTTGTGAGATAACTGGCATTCTCCCCCAGTTTTAAAAACTTGCCTTTTGAGTCGTACTTTGTGTACGATTTTGACCAGCCTCAGCCGAGATGATGATCGGGGGAATAACTGGAATAATAACCAGCTATGGGTAGGCTTTTGACCAAAACATCCAGGCTTCGCCGGTTTGATGATTAGTTTGGGCTAAGATAACTACCTAAGATAGCATTATCAGTCATCATAATCCATAGGTTTCCAAAAATGGTGGATCCCCTAAATGGATGGTGTATAATGCTGCATAATTTAAAGCAAGGGCTGACGAGGTACGAGGTGAATCTTTGCAATTTAAGCGAGGTGAATTAATTAAATTCAGAAAACGAGGTGGGCAGAAATTGCTTTCAAAGCATGTGCAACGAGTGAAAAAAAACTTTTCGGGCTCCAGAAAGTTTTTTTGTTCCCATCAGAGTGAAAAAATAGAAAATTAAGGGTGCATTCAGACCCCGTGAAAAAAAAACTTTCTGGAGCCCGAAAAGTTTTTTTTATCGTAATTTCAGACAGTGCCTGTGGTGGCATGCCCGGTTGTTCCAGGACTTCCGTATTTGTTCTACAGTGAAACCACTGTTTAAGAACCCACTGCATTAAGAACCTCAGGGTCTGGATTGCTGGATTCAACTCTGTCTACCAGCTAATTGAAATAAGAACCCTAGGGAACCCTGAAATTTTGGTCAATAGTTCTTATTCACCTTTCCCAGGTAGCGCGGCTAGATTCTAAAATTGCTAAAGTCTTGGTGCTGCTGCTGCAGCTTCTCTTCTCTGGGGTCGAATTTGGGGGGAATCGAGACCCTTGTAAAAGAGGCATCTCGGAAACAGGAAAAAACTTTTTCGGCCCTGAAAAGTTTTTTCAGCATCCCCAAGCCTCTGGAGCCCAGAGCGTTGCTGCAACGACGACAAAGATAATTCAAAAAAGTTCAACCCAAAAGGAGGCAGAGGACTAGTTCGAATGGCTTGCGGTCGAGAAAAAATGGGACGAGGGCTGAAATCCGTTTTGAATGTAACGAGGCGAGGACTGAAGATTTAATCAGAGGGGAAAAGTAGATTTAAGACGAGGAAACCGTTTTGAATTTAAAGTAAATTTTGCAGATAATGGACAATCCTAGAACAATGGATGATTGAGGAGTACTTCGATTTTTTGGAAACCTCCATATCTATACTATACTATTTGATCATATCTGGATAAACAGAATAACGCCCTCACTGTTTTCCGTCGAATGATGGTTAGTGGCTGCAACTATCCCAAAATGGCAACGTATATTTAGGTTAGTGAATTATGAAGTCATTTACAGTAGCCAGATATGATCAGATGATATAGTCCATATGTATGTGTGTATAATATATAATATACATATTATACTTAAATTATAGCGACCTCATGTCGCGACCTCACTGGAATGATGGCTAGGATTCGGGTAACTATCCCGGTATATTGCTGAACATTTCAGCTTCGTTAAATATTGCAATTTACCCAGATTCATGGAGTATTAGCCATGACGAACCATGATTAGCCATGATTCGCACTTATTAACCATTATGAATCACTATTAACCACCATCAACCACTATCAACTACCATGAAACACTACTAACCACTATTAACCACTATTAACTAACCACTATTAACTAACCACTATTAACCAACCACTATTAACCACTATTAACCACTATTAACCACTACTAATCACTATTAACCACTATTAACCACCAATTGCCATGAACCTCTATTATCCATGGCAACTACTATTCACCATCAATAAGATTCAATAAGCATATGACTACCATGGGGAACATCTCGGCCAGGCCAGGAGCTTTAAGCACAGTCTCCAAGGCGGGTGATTTTTGGAGGGCGTTTTCTCCATAAAAATTCCATGAACATTCAGGGATTGTCATATGGGGTGGCAAATCGTAGGTATTGACAAATCGTAGGTATGATGCAAGAACATGTAAAAACTGAATTGAGAGAGTTTGAGGAAAATTGAGGAACACTATGATACATAGAGGAAATTCATCCCCGAAAGTGGAAATTTCATGATCTTATCATAGTTGTTCCTATTCAACATTGCCATTTGGGGGGAAAAACGACAGTTTTTGACGTTTTTGGATCGGACAAAGTGTCACGTTTTTTTCGGACGACATCGACTCGGAGCACTGGATGTAATCATATAATCTTGGAGACATTCCGATATGTGGTTTCTATATATTTCTATACTATAATGTGGTTAAAACAATGCCATAAACCAAGCATTTAATGGATTTTAACGGGTTTTTTTACTTTTAAAGGATTGGTTTAGGTGGGAAAATCTTAACCGGAAACCATGGGAATTTTCCCATGACATACTAAGCCAATCCGACCTCGTGAGTGCAATGCTGAAGAGACCAAGCGTAGCGATAACGCTTCCCACTTTAAGCTGATGACTAAAGATGGCATACTACGACTACCATGCGCACATAATACGCATAATATATATATATATAGACAATTACATAATATAATGTATGTATGTATATAAATTTATACATAGTATCCTGTTGAGTCCTGTTGCAGTAAAACAACATGGAACATGAAACCTAAAGCCAACTATTTCCTAGCGAGCCGCAAGCAATCCTTTCTTTGCTTCGCTCTGTGAATTTTGAGCAGTTTTCTCCTGGTTTAATCCCAATTGCTTTTGATAAACTAACAATGTTCATTAATCATTTCCCCCCAATATTAAGCAATCCCTTTGGAAACCATGGTTTAGTACCCAAATTCCACATAACTGGGACCATTTAGGGGGTGTTCAATATTTAGGGGAAGTGATTATTGTTGTTTGTTACCCCTTAATCCCAATTATTTGCTGCTGAAATGTTGGCCTCCTACGACATGAATCCCAATTTCTGCCGGGTAAGTGTCCATCTTATGTTGGTGGAAACAAGCGCACATTGTGCTGGTGAAATCTCCTGTTGATCGAAGTTGTGATCTTGGCCAATTCCCCTCATCTTGCAATAACATTTGTGCGCGAATTTATAGCTGATTTACCTATGAATTTATTAAAAATGGTGATTTTCCATAACTTTCTGTGTTAGTTTACCAGAGGCTAAGATTCTTGGTTGAAACATCTTGCGACCATTGGAGATGCTGCCCAGTTGGATGCCCATGTTGGAGATGCTGTTGAGAAATCCCCATGTTTGATGATACAATCCCCCTTTTTCTTGCTTCAACAAAAACCTCTTTCATTGATATTTGATGCAAATCCCATGGTTTTTGGCCGTTTTTTTTGTTAAAAACCACCCGGTGAAAGACCCCAGGACCTCTACGTCCTGCGTCGTTTGGCGGACGTGGTGCAGCCCTTGATCCGGCGCTTCACGGCGGATGAGACGGACCCAAGACGGCGAACGAGACGGGGCAAGCGAGATGTTACTACAGGGATGGCACAACTAACATGATATAAGTGATAAAAGTGACATAAGTGATATAAGTTATATAAGTTTTATAAGTTATAAAAGTTATATAGGTTGTAATTATAAGTGATATAAGTGATATAAGATATAAAAGTGATAAAAGTGATAAAACAATATAAAAGCTATAAAAGTGATAAAAGTGATACAAGATATAACATATATTTAAGTTATACAAGTTATATAAGTGATATACCTTATAAAAGTTATGTAAATGAAATGAGTTATAAGTTACATAAAATATATAAGTGATAAGAATTATTTAAGTTGTAAAAGTGATAAAAAAAATGTAAAAGTGGTAAAAGTGAAAAAAGTGATATAAGTGATACAAGTTATACCACTTAAATAAGTGATAAAAACAAATATAAGTGATAACCGTTATAGTGATATAAGTGATATATATTATTTATATTATACAAGTCATAAAAGTTATATAAGTTATAAAAGTGATAAAACAATATATAAGTTATAAAACTGATAAACGTTATATAAGTTATTTCACTTATATATGCGTTGTTGTTTAAGTGATAAAAGTGATATAAGTTTTAAAATTGATCAAAGTTATATCAGTTATAAAAGCGATAAAACTTATATAAGTTATAAACGTGATAAGCATTTTATAAGTTGTGAAAGTGATAACAGTTATATAAGTTATAAAATTGATAACATTTGTATAAGTAGTATAAGTTATAAAAAGTGATAACACTTATATAAGTTATAAAAGTGATAATACTTTAATAAGTTATAAACATGATAACCATTTTTAATTTATGAAAGTGATAAAAGTTATAAACGTGATATAAGATATATAAGTTATATAAGTTATATAATTATATCATTTTTAAAAGTGATATAAGTTTTACAAGTGATATAAGTTATATACGTTATGTGCGTGATACAAGTTATATAAATTATAAGAGTGATAACTGTTGTATATGTTATATAAGTTATAAAAGTGATATACGTTATATACGTGATATAAGTTGTATAAATGATATACATATAAGTGATATAAGTTATTTTAAAAGTTTTATAATTAAGTAATATAGGTGATAACATATATATATATGTGTGATATAAATTATGTAAGTTAAGAAAGTGTATTAAGTGATATAAGTTTGATAAGTGATATAAGTTATCAATGGAATGAACATGACTGAAATCAGCTGTTGTAATATGTATCGAATAATATAAATGGAACATAATATGGAATGATAGTACTAAATGGAACGAAACAATTGTATAAATTATAAATGGAAAGGTTATATAAGTGGAATGGTTTTTATAAACTGTAATATTTACCGCTTTATATAAAGCTTAGTTACCAACTAACAGTTCTAAATGGGATGACCCAGTTATGTTAGTTACACACGGGAAAAAAACTCAAAACTAGAGTTATATACCATATAGATAGATATACAAACATAAATAAAGCCATATATATATATATAAACATATGATGTCTATGCTTATATGTGGTAATAACAACGCTCATAATGATTACGTCCATGTGCAAGTGATGATAACGACGATAATGGTGACAATAATTTATGCTATGAGAATTCAAGGATTCTCCCATCACGACATGAGTCACTGATAGTCATTGTTGTTCGATCGATTTTGCCGTGCTGTTCGATGGAATCGAGAGGGAGATTTTGTGGAAACAAGAAAGGTCCTTTGATGAAAACACAAGGACAATTTGGCCACTAAAAATGTGCAAACATACTGCTATGATCAGGCTATACAGTTTCAACCAATATGTTTTTTTTTCCTTGGGACATCTTGAAGAAGTGCATTTGTTGAAGTCTGTGACTATTCCTTCGCTCTCATCCTCTTCTGCGAAAGGATTACATTGCTCTCACGGAGACCTTTGCGGAAGGCCTTTACACAGAAGCTTGGGCCAAATGGGTGTGTCAGTGTCGCAGTCTGTCCAGCATTTGTGCTGGACAAACTGGGAATCTTCTGGATTTAAATAGATGTACCTCTGGTTACTGTATTTTTACATAGCCATGGAAAATCACCATTTTTCATAGGTAAACCATCTATTTCTATGGGCCATTTCTCATGGCTATGTTAGTCATAACCAGGTTGGGCAAATAGATGACTTTCGCGCCAGTGTTGGGCATTTCAGGGGTCTCCAACTGCGGCACTTTTTCCGCGGCATTTATCGGGCCCCCCAAAAAAAGATCGGAAAGTAAAAACCCACTAAAATGATAGCAAAAGGATGCAAACAGTAATAAATTGAAGCCTTTCTGTTTTTTTTTGGTGGGTGCTACTGATGAATTTACTGCATGATGCATGATCCAATGTGAAACAGGCTGTTTGCAGTACATTTAAATAAGTTGTGTCAACTTGAAACTTCTGGTTATCCGTGTCTACGGCAGAAGAATGCACCCACCCCACTTGAACGAACACAACTGTAAATGTGGACATCAGATTGACTTTACGTATCTTTACGTATCATGTTGCATCATTTTGCCATACTTCGCCCAAGAATTGCCATACAAAAACTTTGATTTTGATTTGAATAAACTTACATGATTTGATTTTAAAAAACATAATGTATACTGTATACTGTAACTCATTTTCACTAACTAGCATTTCTCTAATCGTTTCTCCCATGTTTGAAACGTTCTCCAGCTACTCCACCCGAGCCCCGAGCGGCCCGAGCGATGTTCCCGTGAGGAGTTGGACTTCCGTAACGAGGCGTTGAATGCGCTGCGCATGGAAGAACTGCTGAAGGAAAGCTTGGGCGAGAGTTCGTTGGAAAAGAAGCTGGGTTGGAAAAGAGTTGGGTGGAAAAAATATGAAACACGTGGATTAAGTATGATTAAGTGGATTGTTGAAGTTGAAGGTAAACTTATGTGTTTGGAAATGTTTAGAATATATTTTCTGTAGATATTTTGAACTATTACTGATGATTAGTTTCTATATATTTTATAAGTCATAATGGATTCGAAGATAATCGAAGTGCGATCATTATCAAAAAACATGTTTTTAGAATGGATGGATCGATAGATTAGATTAGGCTAAATTAGATTAGATTGGATTGAAGTGGATTGAAGTGGATTGAAAGAGACAAGATGAGATACACAGATAGATAGATAGATAGATAGATAGGTAGATAGGTATGAGAGGTAGAGAGAGAGAGCAGGCTATCCCAAATTGAAAAGACTATGCAAAATATCGTGTACTGTAGGATGTGTGAACCGAACACCAAGCATGTTTGTCTCATTTGGACGCTGTATTCAATGCTGGTCTGCTGGTCCACAGGCGAACTGGATGGTGTTTTGATCGCCTATTATTTTTCAAGTTCTTTCCCTGGGGATCGGCATTGACGAGTTCATGTTCTGCCAATATTTGTTCAGGACTAAGTTCAGGACTACCAAACAACATCCTGGATCAGCCAATAGGGATACAAAACAAATGGGAGTTGACACCCCATGACACCCCGAAAGTTTGGTTTTCTTTATGGTATGTTACTAGACAAACCTCACGGCAGCGGATAAATAAATGTGCTGCAGAAAGGGAAACCTACATGGCAGCCTATTTTATGATATTTTATGTACATTGCACAGAAAAAAAACGTATTGACAACATGTGTATAGAATATATATATATTTATATATATAAATGTACATCTACACTCATACACGTGCTTATACTCATTCATATGCATATACATATACATATACAGAATTGTGAACATCTAGCTGTAGCTATTTCTACAGGTTTTTTCTTTTGAACCATTTGCATAGAAACTCTCACACGCAAATGTTTACTCCATGCATAGTCCGATATCACTGATGGGCCCGCCGACCGATCGAATTTGGCTCTCTTAGATTTCCCTTTACTCTAATTCTAGATGGATCTACATTTATAATAATTACAATAACAATAATATATATATATTTATTTATATACATGAATGATCTAAGGTGATTTACAGTTGTTGTTTTGGGGGGTTGTGTGGCTTCTCTCCTACTTGCTGTGTTGCGGTAATCTTCATGTCTCATCTCCTTCAACTGAAATTACTTAAAACTGTTAACTGGGTTGATTGACTGTGATCATGTTAGATCTCCTAACACCCACCTTACTTGTGCTTAGTAGGGAATGTGGGAATGATCTATATATATATATATAATATCGACAATCATCCCGTTCCCTCATTCCCTACCACCAGTAAGTCACAGGGCCGTGGTCTGAGTCATGGTTGATTTGCTGCTGTGCAGACGGTCGCAACTTAGGATCATTATTCCAAGGCCATTGACACTTTGACTGGGGAAGTGCCGCTCTGGGAGTTTTCGGCGCCATGAAGGTTTAGAGCTGGGAAAATCATCGAACACGTGGATGATTACCGGTACAGTTTCGAAATTTCAGTGTTTTGTATCGAGCAAATGATTGTCAATCATCCGAAGTTTGAGTATCCCCAATTCTTCACAAAGCCAAGTCTGTACATCTCAGCTATTCAATCGATCCCTGCTGGTTGACGGCCTACGTTTCTCTGCTCTGGTATATACCGTATACCTATATGTATACACCCAAGGATAATTGTTAAATGGTGGTAACGTTCTCAAGAAGACATGTGAATACACTTAGGATCCATTATAAAATAGGTACTTATATACATTAGTACAGTGTGTATATATATATATATATATGTGATTTGTTCCATTTATATATATATATATATACATATATATATATATTATGAATTTTATATATACATATATATATATATACATAGTATGAATATGTATATATATATATATATATGTATGTAATGTATGTATACATGTATGTATGTATGTATGTAATGTATGTATGTATGTATGTATGGAATGTGTGTATGTATGTATGTATGTATGTAATGTATGTATGTATGTATGTATGTATGTATGTGTGTATGTATGTATGTATGTATGTATGTATGTATGTATGTATGTATGTAATGTATGTATGTATGTATGTATGTATGTATGTATGTATGTATGTATGTATGTATGTATGTATGTATGTATGTATGTATTTATATATATATATATGTATATATATATATATATGTATATATATATATGTATATTATATGTATATTATATGTATATTATATGTATGTTATATTATATTATATCATATTGTATTATATTTTATTATATATTACTATATTATATGGTATATTTCTATATTATTTTTTAATATTATATTATGTGGTATATATGTATTATGATATATATATATATATATATATACATATATATATTTATGATTATTATTTTCATATATATATATATATTTAAATAATGATATATTTATATACATATATGTTATATGATATATTAGATATGTTATATTATATATGATATATATATGATATGTATATATATATATATTATACATATCGTGTATCATATTTATATATATATATACATCTATATCATTTATTTGTGATATAGAATATATATATATACAAACATTATATATATATATACATATATGTATGTTGCATGTATATGTATGTGTATATATATATACAGTCTATCCACACTTTTCACGCAGGGAATAGTAGTCGACTCACTCGTCGCCAAGGATGCCCTTGACCACGCGTCGTGTGATGCTGTCGCAGTGGGTAAACGGCGTGAAGTTGAGCACCTTGCCCAAGGAGGAGCCACCGGAGCCCGGTACAGGATTTTAGTAATCAAGGTATCCCAATAGTTGGCTATAGCTACATCAGATAGTGATCATTATACCAATATGGTGATCATTATACCTTAGTGATTATTATACCAGTGGTAGCCCATAACTAGTTGGTAAAACAGTACAATAGGACTATAGTATAATTGCTATAATTAGTTGGTATAATTACTATACCAACTATATATAATTGGTACAATAGTAGCTACACTATAATTAGTTGGTATACCAACACTTTAGTAATCAATGTCATGATAGCCAACTTTAGTTATACCAATACGGTGTATCATAACATTATATATATATATACATATGCCACATAATATCCCATCCTAGCAAGAATTATCCTACTATATGAAATTTTGTCTACGTACATAATCATTCACTAATAGTAAACGTATATCCTACTAATAAGAATCATCCACCAATAACAAACACATATACCATGAACTAGTTATCATCCTTAATAACGCGTAACAAGAATCATACACATTAATGAATCAACATTACTTCACTGCATACTGAAGTGATTATCTTTGATGTTTTTTTGGATGACAGTTGATGATAGTTTGTCTAAAAATTTATATGAAGATACTAATGTGGGGTTCACCCAATGCCAAAGTCACCATCTGGGCGGTATGGTAAGCAGTTTAACCATCATCACAAAGTGCTAGGTCTATGGCGGTGAATACAACATGTAGTGGTTTAATCATCATAAAGCCCTGTTATAGTAGTTGATTTAATGCTATTTAATGGAGGCTTAATCATCATTTCTAGATTTTCTAGGCTGTTTAGTCATGAAAAAAATGGGATATAGCTGATAGACGATCGTTGATTGATCAGATTGATCAGAAATTCTGTTGATCATACTACCCTCTGGTAAACTAACATAACTATGGGAAATCACAATGTTTAATGGGTAAATCAACTAAAAATGGGCAATTTTCAATAGCTATGTAAACGTTTACCAGAGGGTATGCAATATCTTGGAGATGATCACAATCCATGAGCGAAGAATCCCGTTCTCGACCGACCAGTTTATAAAGGGACGACACCGGGTTTTGAACACCATACAACACTTCGGTGAAAGCTGCGGGAACGTATGGGGCTTGGTAAATGTCCTCTTTTTTTTCACATCAGCCTATAAATTATATATTGGAGATACATCTCCAACAGATATTTCTTTTGGTGTGAAACAAATCCCCAAAAAGGGACATTTACCAACTTTAACGAACCCCGGTTGCAAGTGGGTCATAAAATGTGATAAAACCAATTATAAATGGATGTTGCCCCTACTTACAGCTTCTAAAACCTGGAGTTTTAACCCCATTGCTAGGGTGAAGCTGATCCCTAAGATAGACAAGAAAAGCATCATCAACAAATAGTAATTCAGGTTCAGGTCTGAAAAACAGCATGCGAATGTGTAGGGTCAGTCGAAGGCAGTAAATCTTCATTTTGTCAGGAATGGGGGGTTTTAAAGCATCAGCTTCAAACTATCCTCTGGTAAACTAACATAACTATGGAAAATCACCTTTTTTCATTGGTAAATCAACTATTTCTATGGTCATTTTCAATCGCTATGTAAACGTTTACCAGAGGCTACCTGTCAGTTACTGATCAAAGAGACTATCAATGATGAGATGAATAAGATCATACAGTTCGAATCAGCTCATCCCAGAGTTTGGGCTGACTGGAAAGTTGCCCATTTGTACATCAGATGGCTATGAATATTTCTGATTATTCACTTATCAAAAATTAAGATTTTCCCTAGCTTTTGCACTCTTGCACTTTGCGGACTTTAAGGGGTTCTGGCGCCCCTGCTGTCTCTTGCAGAAACTAATTGGAAAATGCGGGAAGATACGTTAAATAACCAGAGGGTATTTTCTAGATATTTCTAGATAGAGGTTTATTTTCTCTAGACAGAATTTTCCTGTTTTTAATGGTCTCACATATGTTTTTGTAGCCTTTTCGCACCCCCCTTGTCGCCCAACACTGGTTTCCAAGGTGTTGGAGGTTTTTGGTTTTACGGCTTTAGGATTTTTATGGTGTTGGGGTTCCGGATGACGACTGTGCAACGACGCACAGGGCCCCCAGCTAAAGCTTTTCAGGAATGCCAAGTGATCCACTTTTTACAATGTTTTGAGAGTGCCTCAGGCAATACGAGGTGTTTGGCCGTTTCTATACATATATATATACTATCCTTATGTTGTTTTTTTTTGGCCAAATTCATCGCCAACATTCATCAACATTCTGTGTCAGGAGATCCAAGAGTTGATTGCCATTGGACAAGAAGTTTTTCTGACACAGTTGTTTCTTGGCTCAGCTGGGTCAAGGTGATGGAGTGTGGTAATCAGTTGTTGCAGGATTTGCGGATGGGTTTTATACTGACTGATACTGTCGAATATTAATCGGGATTATCATGATATATAATGATATTTATTTTATCTATCTATCTCTATATATATATATGTATACCTTGCATACTTAGAGCAAAATCCAGTATCAAAACCAGTACAATGGAATGACGTTTCGGGTTTTAAACACTGCTTATTGGGCGTCAGTGCGTCAGATTGGGATGATTTCGGTTCCGAAGTCAAGCCACAGAGTCTTCGTTACTGTTGAAAATGGCCCCGTTGGATGTCCATGAATAACAAAACATGATCTTGAACAGGAACAAAATAAAAAACAGGATGCTTTATATATATATGTGTGAAGTTAAATTTATCTTATTGTCCCATGTGGGGTTTAGTTGCTTGTTGCCATTCCTCCAATGGCTTCAAAATAGTTTTTTTTTTAATGGACACAACATTCAGAGCGGATCAGTGTTGGGAACGTAATCCTTTTCCCCTAATATTTGTCATAGCCTCTTTTAAGCCTGGTTTAGTAGATCTATTCAATCTTTGGGGGTACATCTAGGGGTATTCAACATGAAGAAGAAAAACATACATATATAGTGAATGTCTCCAGATTTTTGCCGCAGTATATGTGGCCAAGTATAACCAGAAGATTTGAGGTATCTTGGCCAAAGCCCCGCTTCCTTTCATAGTGGCAGTGGCAAAGAATCTAGCCATGTTAGTTGATGATAAAAGGTTGTTTTATATGGTTTTTTCATGCATTTTAATGGAGGCTTAAAATGCTAATAAAGGTGGTTAATACGGTTTAATACTATTTATCCCATCTAGCGGTTTAATGGAGGCTTAATCATTTCTAGATTTTCTAGGCTGTTTCACCATGTAACATATGGGGACCTGATAGATGATGGTTGATGATTAGTGTGTACATTGGGGATGATGGGAATCCATGATGCCAGTCCCCTTCTTAACCAAGCAGTAGAATGGAACGACATCTGGGGTTTTGAACACTGCTTATATCTACCTTTGAGCCACACCTAACCCTGCAACCGTTATGACCCCCTTTTCTTGGTGAATGGGATGGTGACTATGGCAGCCAGGGTGAATCCCAGATGAACTTCGAATCCGGTCCGAAACTCTCCAGTGAACTGGACATCGAAGAATCCCCATCTCGAGATATCTGGAGCGAATGAGTATCCCAATATGGGGATTGGGATATGTCATGATATGTTAATGATGTTCATGACGTTAATGGGTCAAACGTTACAACACCCGTTTTTTTTGAGAGCTGGCCGCTGTGGGAGTGCACTTTTTTCCATGCAGTCATTACATTAATCATTATATTAGTCATTATATTAGTCATTATATAAGTCATTAAATGATTTTTTGTCATTATATGAATCATTATATGAATCATTGTATTAATCATTAAATGAATCATTAAATGAATCATCATTATATCAGTCATTATATAATTCATTATATTAATCATTTTATTAATCATTATATTAGTCATTATATATATATATATCATTATATTAATCATTATATTAGTCAATAAACTAATAATTATATCAGCCATTACAAAAATCATTATATTAATCATTATCTTAGTCATTATAAAAGTCATGAAATGAATCATGAAATGAATCATTATATTAATCATTTTATTGATTATATTAGTCATTGCATTAGGCATTATATGAACCATTCCATTAATCAGTATATGAATCATGATAATAATCATGATATTAATCATTAAATTCTTTATTTTAATAATCATTAAATTAATCATTATATAAATCATAGTATTAATCATTATAACAATCATGATGTTGATCATTTTATTAATCATTATATTGATCATTATATTAGTCATTGTATGAATTATTATTTTAATCATTATATTAATCTGTATATTAATCATTATATCAATCATTATACAAATCATTATAACATTCATTATATTAGCCATTGTATTTATCATTATATTAGTCATTAAATTAATCATTATACTAGTCATTAGATTAATCATTTTATTAATCATTACATTACTCATTATACATAAACTCATGAAATTGGTCAGTATTTTACTTATGATATCAATCATTGTATTCATCATAATAGTAATCATTATATTAATCAGTCTTTAAATATAATCATGATACTAGTCATTATAAAAGCCATTAAATGAATCATGAAATGAATAATTATATTTATCATTAAATGAATCATTATATTAATCAGTATATTTATCATTCTATGAATCATGATATTATTCATTATGTTAGTCAATAAATTAATAACTATATCAGCCATTACATAAATCATTACATTAATCATTATATTAATCATTATATTAGTCATTAAATGAATTTTGTTTTTTCCATGGTTTTTTTTGCAGTTTGGCCTGGGGGGCGCAGGTGTGCAAATTGTAGAGACGTGCATTTTTTTGAGAGGTACTGTGATGAAAGCATCTTCACATGAAAAACATTCAAAACAACAATGGAAAAAACAAAAAAAAGTTCAGACCCATGGGCAAGGTCTGGGAGAGGCCTGGCAGGGGACATGGGTCTGAACTTTTTGTTTTTTTGGTTTTTCCATGGTTTTTTGCAGTTTGGCCAAAAACCTCGAGAACACAAAAAAAAAAAAGTTCAGACCCATGGGCAAGGTCTGGGCTATCCACACACAAACCAAAAAACCAAAAAACCAAAACAAAAAACCAAAAAACCAAAAAAAACAAAAAAAACAAGATTGCACACCCCAAGGGGAGGGGGTCAGATGCAGAGTGTTGGGTCTTGTCTTTTTGTTTTTTTTGTTTTTTTTGTTTTTTTGTTTTTTTGGTTTTTTGTTTTTTTTGGTTTTTTGGTTTGTGTGTGGATAGCCATTGCAGATGTGCCAACCAGAGATTGCCAGGCACTGTCAGTGGTTGCACTAGAAGCAAGGTCGATACACTACAGTACAGCAATGTTTGCTATGACATAGTGCATTCAGCCAATGAACAGCAGAGAGGAATGGAATTCAATTTTGTCCGGTTGCGCCATATGCTGTTGGATCTTTGCACAGGAAATGCTGCAATTTGCGCACTCCCACAGTGGCCTGTTCTGTTTTTTTTGGATGCTAATTTAGCATCCCCAGTTGTTTTGGCTAAAGCGTTTGATGCCAAAATCCATGGCATTTACAGATCTCTAACGCCTGCTAAGGCTTGACATCGGCTTCTTTCACGGAGATCCTCATCCGGGCAACCTCTTGAAGATTACTGAAGGTGCGTCACCTGATGAAGACTTATACTAATTTGATCTATTGGCATATCAATAGCTATTGGATTATAACATATTAGTAATATTACAAAATATTACAAAAAAGTAGATTAATATTGATTCATCACGGCTTTAGGGCCGGCTGCGATCTGATTTGATTCATTTTTTGATCCTAATCTGCCCTTTGGTAATCAAACATGACCATGGAAAATCAGTCATTTCCAGATCTGAAAAAATGCCTGGATTTTCCAGGTCGACTTTTGACAAAATCCGCGGGTGGATGATATCGCTGAAATGTGACAAGTGGCTAGCAACTACAGGATGGGGCCCCAAAGATAGCGTTTAGTTGAGATATAAGTGGCGAACAAAAACTATGGTATGTAGTAGATAGATATAACTGATATAACGAACTAGTTTGGGGGTTATAAACCATCAAACATCACTGGGGGGCCCCATCCTGTAGAGTTGTAAAGCACCAATGGTTACCACTTACGATTCGTGGGATTCCATAGCCATAGCAATCTGCAGGTAAAATCTGGGACTCCCACTCAGATAATGCGTTCTCTCCCACTATCTCCCACTTGTTGCTGGAAATACTCGAGTTGTTGCTTTATATCATATCTCATGTGTATATATATATATGTATTTATGTGTTTCAATCGTCGTGTTTGTTGTTTTATAGAATGGGCTAGCGCCCAGGTGCCGCCGACCCCCCTCTATTTGGGGGGGACTGTGGGGGGAGAGAGAGAGAGAGAGAGGAGAGGAGAGGGAGAGAGAGAGAGAGAGAGAGGAGAGGGAGAGATGGATGGATGGATAGATGGATGGGGATGGATGGATGGATGGATGGACGGATGGACGGATGGATGGATGGATGGATGGATAGATAGAGAGACAGACAGACAGACAGACAGACAGGTAGACATGTGAATAGATGATAGATTGATGGATAGATAGAGGGATAGAGAGAGAGAGATAGATTGATAGATAGGTAGATAGACAGCTTGATAAACAGGTGGATAGATATTGTTGGACAGATGTATAGATAGAGGGACAGAGAGAGAGAGAGGGAGAGAGAGAGAAAGAGAGAGAGAGAGATAGATGACAGATAGGTAGATAGACAGTTGGATAAACAGATGGATAGATCGATTGTTGGATAGATAGATAGTGGCATAGGAAGAAAGACGGATGGATTGATATATACTTTGAGTGTCAAGGACCCTCCGTTTTTAGGACTGTCATTGTAACCTCATGTTTTTTCCTGCCTGCTGCTGGCTGCTGGTGCTGGCTGCTGCCTGCTGCTGCCTACTCCTGCTGCTGCAGAGGCTTTTGCTGCTGGTGCTGGCTGCTGCCTGCTGCTGTGGGGTCATGTACCATTGGTTGGGCTGATGTCCGGGGCTGACCATTGAAAGCCATATATGCATTGATGGGATTGTACTGTTGGTATGTTGTGTTTTACATAAGGACTGGGTGATCCATGGTGGGCAGTTGGAAGCAAGGACCCCTCCCCAAGCAGGCTGGCAAACTGCAGCTTTGAGGCCCATAGAAAGTCATTGCTGTGGCCCTGGCCCCCTGTTAAGGAAGGTGTTTGGAATTTTAGAGGGGTTGCAGCCTTTGCGGGCTGGCAAACGGCAGCTTTGAAAGCATCAAGAAAGTCATTGCTGTGGTCTGAGGTGCCTGCTGGGGACGGTGTTTGGAGGGTTTGGCGGGTTTTGGAGGGTTTGGAGCGTTTGGAGGGTTTGGAGGGTTTGGAGAGTTTTGGAGGGTTTGCGGGCTGGCAAACGGCAGCTTTGAAAGCCTAAGAAAGCCATTGCTGTGGCCTGGCCCTGGGGTGCCTGTTGGGGAAGTGGCCTTGGCCCTAGGGTGCATGTTGGGGAAGGTGTTTGGAATTTTGGAAGTTTGGATCCTTTGCAGGCTGGCAAACGGCAGCTTTGAGGCCCATAGAAAGTCATTGCTGTGGATCTGAGGTGCCTGCTGGGGACGGTGTTTGTTGGGGAAGGTGTTTGGAATTTTGGAAGTTTGGATCCTTTGCAGGCTGGCAAACTGCAGCTTTGAGGCCCATGGAAAGTCATTGCTGTGGCCCTGGCCCCACAAACTGCAGCTTTGAGGCCCATAGAAAGTCATTGCTGTGGCCCTGGCCCCCTGTTAAGGCAGCTTTGAAAGCATCAAGAAAGTCATTGCTGTGGATCTGAGGTGCCTGCTGGGGACGGTGTTTGGAGGGTTTGGCGGGTTTAGGAGGGTTTGGAGCGTTTGGAGGGTTTGGAGGGTTTGGAGAGGTTTGGAGAGTTTTGGAGGGGTTGCGGGCTGGCAAACGGCAGCTTTGAAAGCCTAAGAAAGCCATTGCTGTGGCCTGGCCCTGGGGTGCCTGTTGGGGAAGTTGCCTTGGCCCTAGGGTGCTGGCCCTGGGGGTTTGGAATTTTGGAGGCGTTTGGAGCCTTTGCGGGCTGGCAAACGGCAGCTTTGAAAGCTCATAGAAAGTCATTGCTGTGGCCCTGGCCCTGGGGTGCCTGTTGGGGAAGCTGCTTAAGGGTAAAGGTTTGGAGGGTTTGGAAGAGGACAAGGTCCACACCTGCGGTGGTCCCAGGCGCCGCCCCGGCCTTGGCGAAGGCCGGGGTCGGCGGATATCCATTGATAGCATGGTGATTTTCCCTAGTTATGTACCAGTCTACCAGGCCGGGTAGCTATCTTCAACCGGGTCCAAGCGGATTTCACCCCCATGAGGCGAGAGATCAACATTCTGAGGAGCGTGCGACATGAGAACATTGACGGGAGCCCCCAGAAACGGCGCCATGGACATGTATGTTATTAATTAATGACCATTAATCACATTAATTATGGATTCATCACCATTATTAAGCCAAGAACTATAGTATACTATAGTCTATAGTTATTCACCGCTTATTAAATGGGATAACTATATGGGGATGGGTCAAAACCCTGGTACCCCTAGTGAACATCAAAATAGCTGGGATTTATGGATGTTCATCCCCCTAAAAATGGTATTAATAGGTACTCGTATTGACTCATAGCCATATAACATATCCAGTGTATATGAGTATCCGACAAAATTATCAGCCTTTGAAAGTAGTAGAGAGCTGCCTTGAACTTTGCTTGCCTTCACAACACCTTCATTCTACTTCTAGTTCTAGTACTAGTAGAAATTGCTGCTGAACGTTATCAAAGAGCGAAAATCTTCACAACCGACACGGGGAACAACTAATTTTGTCCGCTACTCATATATATATATATATATGTACATACACGTATATATATATATATACATATATATATATATATGTATGTATGTATGCATGTATATATATATATGAGCCACGGTCAAAATGGTTCAAGACTACTTTAGTATTGCAGGAGTTTTGTTGTCAGAGATGTGCACGAAACAGTGTAAAGCAATAGGGCCCTGATAGGGCCCCTCCAAAAGCGAAAACCTGGGACCATACACGACAATCCATTAAACTTGGCGTAAACCAAGACATGAAATGATGACTTCACCTCGCAACTCACTCGACCATAGAGCCAAAAAAATAGAAGACAATTCTTCTGCTGGATGAGCGGTTTTCAGGGTCGCGTTGTTAGTTGGGTGGCCCCATGTTGCCACATATTTCGTTGGTTACTCCATCATCATAGGCTAGCTTGCTTCGATTTATCGTGGAGGTATCTGGATGTATCGAACTAAATAGATGGGGTAAGATAAACCAACCGATTTGTAACTGGGGTGGTACCTTTACAAAAAGGGTTAATTCATCACTGTAATCATCTATAATCACTCCCCCAAATATCAAATACCCTCGTATGGGCGACTCAAAATGAACCGTTTCCCTGCTACACAATGTTTGGATTTTAGTGTACTTGATAGTAGAGGGACGAAATGATTCATATGTGCTTAGAAACAATGAAATATCCCCATCGATCTCCCATAAACCATCCCCATTTGAAGAATTTGAATGGTTTGCCCTCTGATAATTGAACGTCACCATGGAAAATCAACATTTTTAAAAAAAAAAAATAAAGTTCCGGTAAATCAGTTCTATCTTTCGATGTGGAGAAACTCCCTCCCCATTCTCCCCATGATGTCTCCAACGTCGTGGGTTCGCCCAGGTGCAATTGCACGAGATCGCACAGACACCGCAGGGGGATCCCTTGATCGTCATGGAGTTCTGCCGCTCGCTTAGCAGGGCATGGATGGGTTGCTGGATGGGTTGCTGGGATGACATTACGAATGTGATGACTGGGATCATTCCCGAAAATTCCCTGCGTAAAACGCACCAGTAAGAAAAGGTGAACATAACATAACATAACTAGGTAATTTCTATGGTTTATGATAGATATATCATGATCTATCTGGGTAACTTGTAACGACCTCACACCGAACCCTGGAATCATGGTAAATAAGGGAAATCATCCCCTTTTATGGCCGAAATAGGCTGGGGATGACAACGTTAAGGTTTGTACATGTTTGTACCATCCGTGGGGACATTTGCGAAATGATGGGAATTCAAGAAAACACTGGGAATACCCTCTGGTAAACAAACATAGCTATTGAACATGGCCTATCTATCGTGGATTTACCTATGAATGATGATTTTCCATAGCTATGTTAGTTTACCAGAGGGTATGATCCATCACCCTGAATTTAAAACATCTTCCATTTTCACGGGATATCCTCTTCAATCCTCTTCACATGTTTTTTTGGAAATGCCAGCCATGTTCTACTCCATGTTTTGTTTTCCTCTCATCATCCTATCCATTTAAGGTCCAAACAACACCAACACAAAGTCCAGCTGCACATAACCACCACCTTGCGACGTTGCACGTGACGTTTAGCCGTTACGCCTCGCCTCAAGGCCAAGCCTCGTTGCTGGAGCTGATTCACAGCCCAAAGCACGACTTGAGCTTTTCGGAGATCAAGTACATCATCCGCCAGGTGGGAATCCCCCGTGGCGTGTGGGATTGTGTCAATGGGGATATTAAGGATATCTTCAGATCTAACAGGGATGAAAACTGGGATTACTTGTAGGA